ACTTCCCCGCCCGTTCAATTTCTCCAGCCGTCAGCCCTAACGTACGTAGTATTTACTTAATGTAACTCGACCCCCCCTCCCCCTCCCATCTCCCCTTTCTGCTCTTCTTTCTCCACACCCCCTGCACACCCCCAAAAAACAAACAAACAAACAAACAAACAAGTGAACACACGACCAAGCGGATTGAATGAACATAACAAAATAAAACACAACAACACCAAAAAAAAGAAGAAAAAAAACAAAGCGAAAAAAAAGAAAAGAAAGAAGACCAACAAGAAATTACATTTTTGCCCTTGTCCAGTGTTAGCTTTCCACAGTTTTCTCAGCTTCCAGCTATTTCTTCATAAACGTCAACAAGTTGCTTATATGTACTAAACCCAGAAAGCAAAAGATTTCAGGCCAACGAAAAAAAACCCCCCAAAGAACTTGCTCATTCTTTGAACAGTTTTAAATACATTGTATGTCATTTTTTTCTTCTTAATTTTTTCAATATTCTGAATCTGTATTTCAACAAAATATTTCTTGAGAACGCTGAATCAATAATTTGCGCTTTAATTATTTTTTAAAAATTGGTTTTGTACATCTAAATACCTGGTCGAGTATAAATTGTTGAAAGGCAGACACATACACATTGATCAATTAGGGTGGGGGGGGGGGAGGAATGATCGGGGCGTTGACACCTAGGTCAACTGAAAGTCATTGGCCTACTACATTTACACTCTACTGGAATGGAGGAATAAATCTTGAGAGATGCACAAAAATAGAAGGTCTAGATCCATACTCTCAAAACAAAATGCACCTCCCGAAATCACTTCCGGCACTTCCCTTGTGAAAAATAGCTACGCAGATTTGTTTAGAATCTACTTTCTCAGTGGAATAATCATGAAGGCCAAAGAAAGCAAGGGAACTTTTTGTCGAATATATTTTTCTAAATTCAGGAAATGAATAAATAAAAAATCGGGCTCCGTCGGGAGCCTATCTATTTGAAGGTACTTTCCAACTTTCGATCTGTAGTTGTCGTAGTTTTATGGGAAAAGTGGCACATGTGTTTCCGAGTTGCCAAATATAATATAT